CGGCTCCAACGGGGCGGGCCGGGGGCGGCCCCGCTATTAAACAGCCTCGCCGAGAAACGGCCCAGGGGAGGGACGCACCGCCCGGCCCGACCCGCCCCGCGCCACCGCCCCCGCCGAGGGAGCCCGCCCCGCCGCAGCGCCCCCGCGGCACGGCGCGGCAGGGGAGCGCAGGGAAGGGGGTCCTACCTGCGCCCCTCGCCCCGGCATCGAGGCGTTCGCCTGCGTGGGGAACGCCGACCCGCACCGCCAACCCCGAAAAGCGCACTTTCACCGTCTGCATCCCACTCCTCCTCCCACTCCCCCTCTCTTCCTTCCTGGAAACCCCCTACCTGCACCCCCCATCCTTCATTCCTTCATCCCTCAGAAACTCCGTGAAGCCTTGCCTTCTCTCCCCACAACAGGTCCCCCCTTCCTTCCGTCCCGCCCCTGGGGGACGTCGTCACTGTCCCCAATGTTTCCACCATGCCTCCCCACCATGGGTGCTGGTCCCAGGGGTCCCGAAGTCCGGCTCCCCAGGGAATAGGGTGGGCTGAGCCCCTCGCAGACCTGTTGAGGCTCACCGTACCACAGCCCTCCCTTCACGTCTGCCCTTTCTTCAGCCCTAAGTGATCAGCTTCTTCACTCAGGTTAAAAATATCCGAGGTGGCTTTCTAAGCTGCCGCTTCGTCTTCCTAATGGCTTAAACTGCACTGCTGGGTCACATCTGAGCTTTAGCATTGTTTGTTTTTTCACTGGGGCCATGAAACCTATAGAGCACTGCTAGGTACCTCCTGGATTTGTATAAATCCCCGTAAAATAAGTAAGTGTGGATGAAGCATTTGTGAATTTTGGAGGAAAGGGCTGGATGATCAAGCAGACCTTTAACGTGTCAGCAGGAGGAGGGATTAAGAGGAAAGAAATGAGACTCACACTTAAATTCTCTTGCTATTATTTACACCTGTAATAAAATCTGGTTGAGCTGGTTGTGCCTTTAGCAAAAATATGTCATCTATTAATGAATTGTTTGTAAAGCACTTTGAAAATATTTGTAAAGCCCTGGTTAAGCGACCTCTTACTGTGTGCTTACGGCATGTGGCATGTACATGTGCTCCTGAGCATGTCTGTCCCAGGCAGCTATGCCTCCGAACGCACCTTGGGGCCTTCGCTTCTCCCCGACATCCCCTGGCCACATCGCTCAACTAAGACTAAGATTTACAGACTAAGGCAGCTCTCAGCTACGGCTCCTTACAGAGCACGAGATTGTAAATCACAGCAAAGCCCATGCTATGAAGTGCTCTGTGCTCACTCACTGCAGGTTTCCCCTCTGAGGCTCCGTCACCATTGGGGTTTTCTTCACCTCTGAGAGGGGGGAAACGTGTGTGAGTTGTACCATGATGTTGTGGGGACTGATGGGCATTAAGTGTGCTTTCCTCTGACAAGATGGATAGTGCTGTAACTGAGGTTTCACGAGCATAGGTATTTACACAGCTCTCATCGCTTTACAGCTAACTCCAATAAACAGTGCCTCTAACCTCACAAAATCCTTGTGAGGCAGACAAGTAAAATTATCTTAACTTTTTAAACACAGAGGCAGACAGTGCTCCAGTCCCAAGGTCAGGCAAGGAGTCTACGATGGAGCCAGTAACTCAACTATATCTTGCAAGGCCCGTATTTACCCACGAACATTGCTGCCCGTACCCAGGAGTGCTCAGCTGCTAATCTGGGTGGATGATAATGCTGTGAACGCACACAGTGTGCTGCACATGTCCCAGCATCGCCAAATTTACCATCTAATTCCCATTAAAAAAATCACCTACTGCATATTCAGAAGTTACGAAGAAAAGCCCTTGGTCCTTGGACTCAGTAAAGCTACAGTGGACACAAGTACCTTTGTAGAAAAAGAACTCTCCCTCCCAAAAGAAAACCCTACCACTATTGCCTTTTCTTTGAGAATACAAAATAAATATTAGAAAGTGCTACACTGCTGTGTTTGCTTTGGAAAGTCTTTTAGATAACAGGAATTAGTTTTCAAAACAAGAGTGCTGGGAGAGGCGGTGGCAAATCATACAAGAGGTTGGAGCTGGAAAAAATGGTAATTACCCTGCTTTGAACCTTATGCATATATTAACAGTGATTAAATCTCACCATGATAAGCATGTAGATAATGGTTTCCTTAAACAAATCAAAATAAGAAACCTCCTTAATAGTGGATTTATAGATTGTGAAATTACTGGGCAGTGTGAGACGCTAGACTGAATCTGGCCCAGCACAAGCCGTGTTCCTTCCTCAATTATTGATTGTCTGATTTACAGTATATTTTTTCCTAATAAAACTGATTTTGAGGGTTCTTTAGTTAAAGAATCATCAGCCACCCTGATTAGTATTTATTGCTGCTGCCAATAATTACATTTGGGTTCTAGTTTGAGTTATCTTCAGCTTCCAGCCACTGACTTTTGTTCTATCTTTGCCAGACAGACTGAGAAGTCATTACTGAGATTATCCCTGTAGTAATGTCAGGCTGTGATTATGTCACCCTTTGGCCTTTTCATAGTAAGTAAAATAGATTGAACTTCCTGAGTTTCTTATTGTAAGGTGTCTTTCCCAATTCTTTAATCATACTTTTGATTTTAAAGGAGCAAGATTTGACCTTGCTGTTTGAATATCACTTTCAGCCCAAACCATCCTTTATGATATTAATGAATGTGTCTGAATTAGAAGCCTAAGCACCCCTGGTCCTTTTAGGGTCAGCTAGGATAGGCAGACACTTGAAGAAGGCAGTTCACATAATAGGGATTACATGAATACAAACTTATTATTTTCTTGTTATTAGTATTTCCCCCTTAAGTTTGTATGGGGTTTTTTTTTGCATATTTATTAAAGCTACAAGCATATTTTTACACTACAAAAATAAATGCTTACCAGCGTCTCTCAGTCTTCCATCATCTTGCAGGGTATCTGAGAAGGATCATAACTCTTCTCTGAACATTTTCAATGCATCAACGTTTGCCTGAACTGTAGTATTAGAACATGGCTCAGCTTTCCCATTGGAGAGACACTCATGTCAAAAGCTCAGTCCTATACAAGATGACCTTGCTTAGACCTCCAAGGACATGATCTACCCCACAGCATCACGTGGAGATCCAGGACCAGTGCCTTGCAGGCAGATCTGAGAAAGCTTAGGCATCTTGTTGGTTTTTTTTTAAAAAAGTGGATACCACATTAGGATGTGATTATTTTAACCAAATAGAGATGTGAGCTTTTGGTCAGATTAATTTCACTCTACAAATGCATCTACCTCTCAGTTGACTGTAGAGAGAATGTAGGATGACCAGCCCAGAGGTGAAAACTCGCAAAGAGGTGTCTAGTGCTGGATGAGAACAATCTCTGCCTCCCAGCCAATCTCCTCAGACTTGGTCAATGACAGAGAATATTGATATTGCCTTTCAAAGAGTTCTTCTAAAGATCTTGGATACAAGCTATATGAACATGCAGGGGTTTTAAAATTTGTAACTTCTAGAGCAATTTTGGGAGACTGAAATTTTAAGAATGCATTAATTACTATTAGTTATCGCTGTTATACAATTCATATATTTTTTTCAATATACAACAAAAATGGCTGTTGGACCCCTCTGTTACCTGTTTTGTTTACTGAATATTCTACAGCTTCTCTTAAGTAACAGACCTCTACCATTAGTTACTTTCTCTTGGTCTTAGTTTACATATAACACTATTGTCTTTGACTATCTGTCCATTAACTTTTTGGTTTTGCATATTTTATCACATTCTTGTCATTCCTTTTGGATTTATATTCCTTTTTACTCTGTGATGTTTATGCTTTTCTTAAACTTAATTAACTTTATAATTCTTTAAATAATAATAAAGATTTTTTCTTTAATTTTTCCATCTGAATTCCAGTTGAATTTTTAAATCAAGATCCTCCTTCTCAAAATCAAAACCTAGATAAATCATCTTCTTTATTCAGTCTTTTCAAACATCTAGTAATATATTTTAAATGGATTCTTAGTTACCATTCACGTGCTTAATATAAATTCTCTCCCTTACTTCTGTACTTCATGAGGCTGACTTTTTTAAAGCAGGAAATAAATATTCCCCGATATGCATTTATCCTGCTGTATTTTCATCAGCATTTCAATTGTCCAGTAACAACTAGAAAAGAAATTGTATTGTCATGACACTTCCAGTGAACATGCTCTACTCAAACTCAGAAAAAAAACCAGTGCAGAGCTGCATATGTATTTATGCATCTATCTATTGATCTATCAATCTATGTATAACATAGATATCCATATGTATATCTATCTATGTATAGATAGGTAGATAGGTCAATAGATAGATCGATAGACAGATACACATGCAAATACATACATATATATATATATATAGGGTTTTATATATAAAGTATTCATAGAATCATAGAAACATTGAAGGTGGAAAATACCTTTAAAATCATCGAGGACAAACACTAACCCAGTCCTGCCAAGCCCACCACTAAACCATGTCCATAAGTGCCACATTTACATGTTTTTTGAACACTTCCACGGATGGTGACTCAATCACTTCCTTGAGAAGCCTCTTCTAGCACTTGATCA